GGAGGAGATAGATAGATAGATAGATAGATAGATAGATAGATAGATAGATAGATAGATAGATAGATAGATAGATAGTCAGCCAGCCAACCAACTAGTCAGCCAGCTAGACAGACAGACCGACTGAAAGACAGACAGACAAATAAACAGACAGACAGACAGACAGATAGACAGACCGCCAAAAAGGATATATGATGACGAAATACTCCTTCCCTCCGACCTATCATTCTCGCCCTGAGCACTGCGCATGTCCCAAAGACAAGACAGGCAGAAAATTAAGGCCCGTTTCCAGCAGCGGTCTGCGTCAGTGCGAGAGAAACATGATACATGGGACGACATGGCGTTATGGACTAGTGAGACGGACATGGCAGACAGACAGAATGATTTATTGATTGATTGACTGATAGGACTGTAATAATTGTTATATTCATCGTCATGACCATCATCATCATCATCATCATCATCATCATCATCATCATCATCATCATCATCATCATCAGAAGGGTATACCAGAATTTGGGGTGCAAAAGATGTATGTCGGTTCACCCTTGTGTGCACAAGATGTGTGTTTGTTTCTTGTGTAGGTGACTCTGATCAACTACCTTTGTCTGACAGATGGGGGCTTAAAATATCTACAAATTAAAACAACAATGAAAAGGAAAGGAGTAAAGCTATCGAACAGGAAGGCGGAGATAAACCACAAATTAAAAAAAAAAAAGTTGCTGTTCTTTAGCACACCCGCCCACCCCAGCCTGGATAACGAGGTAAAATTCAATTCTCTCAATTTCTCAATTCCTCACTCTCATCCTTTACTATTATTCTAAAAAATCTTAACAACATTGTACCTCTTAAAGAAACATTAAAACGTATACAAAAGATCTCAGAAAAAAATAACTTACCCTGTAAATGTTAATGCTAGTCTTTTATGTTTTCTGCTGATCCACACGGACCACTTTTCCTTGTTCATCCGAACATCACAAGAGAATGCACAGACAAGTGAATAAATTAAAATGAAAGAGAAATCCCACACACAAAAACAGCAGCAGCTACATTAAAAACAAACCCCGAACCCCGACCCCTCCCCCTAAAAAGGAATGAAAAAAAAGAAATAAATGAATAAATAAATAAAATCAAATGAAATATCTTTTTGAAACAAATAAAGAAACAACGAAATGAAGGAAGCCACCCGCTTCAGGTTAATCCTGAGCACATATGTCTTCAGCCCAGTTTGAACCCCAAAAAATTAACATTTAGATGGGAATTCCTTCCAGCTGCATTACTCTCATTTATGCGTGAACGCATTGTTTCATTTGGGGGATATTTTGGGGGGAAAAACTTTACAAGGAAAATGATCTCGCTGAGACACTGTTAAGCAAGAAAACGTACAAGTTGGCCCTGGATAACGCTTTTTGATGGTGTTCCGTAGGGCAACAGAATAAAATAATGTGGTTTCTGGTGAGATTTTCGTGGACGGGAAAAGAGAAATCAAATGAGGTAGTAGTGCTGGTGGGTGCTCAGTGACAACAAGAACAGCAACAACAACGACAACAACAAAAACAACAACAGCAACAACAACAACAAAAACAACAACAACAGCAATAACAACAACAGCAACAACAACAACAACAACAGCAACAGCAATAACAACAACAACAGCAGCAGCAGCAACCACATAATCCAACTCAAAGGCTTTTTTGACAGCGCTGATAGACCTCAACAACAATAGCAACAACAGCGACAACAACAGCAACATTAACAATAACAACAAATTCAACTCAGAGGCTTTTTGACATCCATGATATATCTCAACAACAACAACAACAACAACAACAACAACAACAACAACAACAACAACAACAACAACAACACCAACAACAACAACAACAACAACTTTAACAATAACAGAAACAACAACATCAACAAAAACAACAAAATCATCTCAAAGACTTCTGTTATGCTCATCGACTGTCCACGACTAACTGACAGAACCCTTGGCCAACAGATTTGTGGTAGTGGGCGACAATGATGAGGCCAAAACTGGTGGTCAGATTACTCATCAACAAAATTTACCTGCAGAATTTAAAAAAAAAGAAAAAAGAGAAAAAGAAATAAAACAAGTTATAACAACAAAAAGCCAACCCCCT